TGTGTGTGTGTGTGTGTGTGTGTGTGTGTGTGTGTGTGTGTGTGTGTATGAAAATGTGCACTGCCCCTCTAGAGGTCCAGTCAGAGCTCCTGCCAACCCACATAAGCCTGCTCACAGAGCCTGGAAGCAGTGTCATTCACTGGCCAGCTGGAGACACTGAGCCTCTGCAGATCAGGAAGGGAGGCTCATTAGCAAGGAAGTTCAGGAACTAGGGACTCCCAGAAAGGTATGTAGCAAATGCCATCCAGATGTTGGGTTTTCTTCCTAAACTGTGCATCCTCCCCCCTTCACCCTGCCCTTCATCCTAGTCAAAGAGCAAATTTGTGGTTTTCATCTTATTCAACAAGGTGGGAAGACCACCTTGCCCTTCTCAGGGCACAGTTCTACACTGCACAAGGTCAAATGTTGGAGGCTGATGCCTGATTCCTTTAGGTAGCATCCGCCTCTTGGGGATCATGAGGCACATCTATCATCTGGCCCCTACGACAACCACAGGAATCCAGCTAGGTAAATGAAGGTGTATAAGGTTTGGGGAAGTCTGCTTAGAGGCCAGTGGGCATATTAAAATTGGTGCAACTCCTAAGTCATTTGTTGGCTGTATAGATAACCTAGCTTTTTGTGAATCTGCCTAGAAATCTGTGGGACCTAATGGTGGCCACCAATCCACTACTTTTGACTTTTACGCCGCTCTCCTCGAAACGAAAAAGGACTTTCCCCCTTTTATCTTGTGAGAAACCCAGCAGTTAGCAATTTGCCTGGACTGGATGGCTAACAAGGGGTTATTAAGTCTGCTCACAGAGCTGTTCCCCAGGCTCAGGCTTTGCTGGGGTTAATTCTGGATAGGATAAGGGAAAACAGATCTCCCTGAGCCCTAACTGTATCCTGAGCTCCAGTCAGTTCCTTCTCACCCACACCTGAACACTAGCTTCTCCAAAGAGGAACCTGAGAATGCCACAGCCTCTCCAGTAAACTCCTGGGGCGGCAGCAGCCTCAGGACCTGGGGGTCAGTTGGAAACAGTCAGCTACCAGCCAGGAATTAAGAAGCTAATGGCAGCTAGGAGTGCAGAGCCCAGGGAAGAAAGCAACCCCACTTTTCTATCCACTCGAATGCTATATCTAAGAACCTTGTGATATTCAGCTGTGCATTTGGACCAGTGATTCTTAAAAAGTTAGCCCAAGAAACAGTTGAGCAGGGGAGAGACTGGAGAGCTGCCACCTTCATTGCCACCACCCATTTCCTAGGAAAAATACAGACGTCATCTTGTGGGACTTTTGTGTGGACCAATGGATCCTTTTAAAAACACATTTTGATGTTTTTAATCTTGATGCAAATTTGACATGGGGGGAAAAGGCAACACAGACTTTTAGGAGCCCTAAGAACAAGCTAATGCAATTTTGCATATCTTACAACGGTTCACCAGGAAGACCTTTACAGATTTGCTTCGAGAACCACTGATCTAGAGAAGACATTTTGATTTCAAGAACTGTTCTAGAGACTCTTCATTTGGTTTGGATACCTTCCTGTTTAGCCCAAGAGGACATCCACTCACTGTTTGGGGATCAGGGCCTGTTTGGCAAGAGGAGAGGTGAGCCCTAAGTGGGGAGTCATTGGGGTGCCTAACATAAAGAGTCCGCTTTAGTCATTGCTGCTTTGTGACCCTAATACCATGATTGCTTTTTTCTTGCTTTGTTTTCTTTCTTCCCAAATGAAAATTTTTAGGGCTACTCCTTGAAAATGATTACTAGATTTGGAGTCAGAGGACCTCAGTCAAAATTCCAGCTTTATATCTATGCAGCTTGGGGAAAATGACTTAGCCTCTCTGGGTCTCTTTTTCTGTATCTGTTAAAGGAAGGGCTTGGACTAGATGATTTCTCAGAACCCTTTCAGCTTTAAATCTATGCGTTTCTATGATCTCTTGGGTTAGTATCTTAACCCCTAGAGAATTAGTCTATCGATATTTGATAAAAGGCTAATCCCACAGACTTCCAGAATCAGGAAGAATTTTTCAAGATGTATAAGCTCTCAAGTTGTGGTAAGAGAATCCAGCTGTGGTTCACATGTGGTAGACAAGTAGATAGGGAGCACCACAACAGATCTGTTTGATGCTGTGGACCTTTGGACCTTTACTCATAGCTTTGTCACAGAGCTGAACCTCACCATGAAAAGAAAACAATCACCAAGTAACGCCAAGTTAGTGGTGGCACCGATGACATGATGTGAGTTGGGTTCCCAAGAAGGAAAAAATGGAAATAGATTTGGAATCTCATAGGAATTCAGCCTAGAATGGCGGACTTCCCTGAGGAAAGTCTTCTGGGATAATAATAGAAGAGAATCAGGCCCTTACCATAGGTAGCACATATCTGGGTCACCTCTTCCTGAAGTCACAGGATTTCTGTAGGGAAGAAAGGAGCTGGCTTGATAGCGTCTCTTTGGCTGGAATCTTCAAGGGATTTTGTATGTATTTTCTTCATATGGGGAAAACCCCATACAAAGGTAATAAAGGGAACTTTGGGGCCAGTTGCTTCTACTTTTCCCCTTGGTCACTCAGAATTCTGTGGGGGCCCCGCTGAGGCAGCCAAATCAGATCTCTGTAGGCTGTCGGCAAAGTCTTCAGCGATTTCAGCGTCCAAGATGGGGAGCAGGGTGGAGAGAGGGAGGGACCTTGAAAGAAGAGGAACTTCCTCTTTATCGTATATCATCGACAGATTCAAAAGCCAAACTACCAAGATTTCTCTCCTTGTGGAATTCTCCAATTCTGGGAAAATAAAGAATTAAGTGACCCAAATTGTGAGTATGATTGGACTAGCCGTTTTGCTATGTAGTGACGTGGCCCCAGCCTGCTTATCTAAACGGAATGCAAGAAAAGTGCTTCCCAAATGGTAATGAACCACCAGAGCAGTGATTATAATCATAGTTACTATGACTTGGGTTGGCATCATTTTTCCTAAAGGAAAATTGATGTAGTCCTGGGATTTATGGAATAATGGGAAACCCATGAAGAAGTAGCAGTGCTCCCTTTTTAATTTCTTTTCAAATCTATCTTGGAAAAAGTGCAGATTCTAATTAGCCACAGGTAGGCATAGCTCAGTGAGGGGCAATGAGGGAGCCAGGTGTCCAGAGCTGGATAAAAGGGGGAGGTAGTCAGAAGGTCAATTTAGAAGGGATACAAGTTTTTTTTAGAGAAGTAGAAGATGTGCTTTAGGAAGTGAATAGACAGAGATCTTGAACTCAAGAAGGGAGACTACATCAATTTGCCAGGATTACGTATAACTCACATTTACATATTGTCATTGGATCCTCACAATGACTCCATAAGAGAGACAGGTCAGAGATAAATTATAGGTGAGGAAACAGGCTTGGAGACATGGAGAGAATGGATAACATCTAGTGAGAGCCAGTACTAGAATCCAGGTTTTCTGATCCCTAATCCAAGGGTTTTCTCGCCACTTATCACTGCCTTAGGAAAGAAAACAAACCTCTCCAAGGCCAGGGAAATCAGTTCACACTGGATTCAAAACCCTACGTGGGCATTGAGAAGGTTCTAGATTATAGAAGGAAACTGGTAAGGCTGTCTTCAAAGCTCTGTTCAGGGTTGAGAGGCAACATGGTATAGTGGAAATAGTGCTGGTTGAGTCAAAGGACCTGGGTTCAAATCCTTCCCCTCCCCCATTTAATATCCATGTGTCCTTGAGCAGGTTACTAAACCCCTTTGCCCATCAGTTTCCTCATATATGAAATGAGGGAGGTGGTCTAGATGGCGTCTGAGGTCCTCTTCAGCTCTAAGTTTAGGATCTGACTATTCTCATCCTTGCACGTGATCTGTATGGAAATCTGTCATTCAAGGGTAGTCCAGTCTCAAGATTAACCTTGGGCAATGTTGGTTTCCGGACAACTGATAGGTGAAAGGGGTGGAAAAGAAGTCACTGTGATCACAGGGCAAGCAGTTTCAAGAATTCTAGGATGGGGACAGGTTAGGGAGGCACCAGCCCCCAGCTGATAATTGCCACTTCCCACCCTTCCAAAACTCCTGCAACTCCATCAATTTTCCTTAAGGAATAGTCAATTCATCCCTGTCACCCCAAGTTATAATCATTACGACCACAAGGCCTGCTCCAATAGCTCATTACCATTTAGACTGGAGTCATGGCCCACCTAAATCCACACCCAGAGCTTTATCTCTTTACAATTGTGCTTTTTCAGAAGGATCAACTGGGAGCAAACCAAAGTACCCACTGAAGATGTTCCATAAAATGAGTAGGTGCAAGGCTTGTTCTAATCCCCACTTCTTGGAGGCATGAAAAGTAGAAAACTTGCTTCACTTGTTTAAAACAACAACAGCAACAAAAACCCATGAGATGAAGAAGGACCCTCAGTCTGGTCTCTTCTCGAGGAGGCTCGGTTCACCACACAACAATTGATTCCTTTGTTGAAAACAAAACTTGACTGTTTTTAAGTGATTATGCCCCAAGGTCCTGCCACTTGACATTTGTCTAGTATTCCAGGGTGATGAGTGGCCAGATAGCAGCTTAAAACCAGTTCATTAAGGAAACAAACATCGAGGCCTGTGGTTCTTAACCTATGGTGAACTTTTAAAAAAAAATTGATGACTTTTTTTTAATGGAATTGGTTTCTTTTGTAATCCTGTGTATTTTAATTTATACATCTAATAACATTATTCTGAGAAGGAGTGCATAGGCTTCACTGGACTTCCACAAGGATCCAGGACACAAAGAAGGTTAAGAATGCCTCATTTAAAAGTTTCTGGGGGCAGCTAGGTGGATAGAGCACCAGCCCTGAAGTCAGCAGGACCTGAGTTCAAATCTGGCCTCAGACCAAACACTTGACATTTACTAGCTGTGTGACCCTGGGCAAGTCACTTAACCCCAATTGCCCTTAAAAAAAAATAAAAGTTTCTGACTCTCTTCATGGTGCCATTAATGAACAGGGAGAAGAAGAAAGGGAAGGGAAAGCAATAATCATAGTGCCTACTATGTGCCAGGCACTGTGCTAATCAATTTTTACAAATATTATCTCATTTAATCCTCACATCTATCCTGGGAGGTAGGTGTTAATATTAACCCCATTTCCCAGTTGAAGAAACTGAAGCCAACAGAGGTTAAATGACTTGTTACCCAACCAGTAAGCTGGTTGAACTTGGATCTTCCTGACTCCAGGCCCATTCCTTTATCCACTCTATCACTAGCTGCTATGTTAACTCCAGGTTAACACAACTGGCCCTCAACAGCATATAGACAATCACCCAAGGGAGTGGTGTCAGCAACAACAGTCTGGTAAATCCCTGCAGTGAGCTCTAGCCAGAGCTCTGAAATTGATTCAGTGCCTGTCTTTGGGCAAGTCAGTCAATTACTCTATCTCAGGTGTCAAATGGGGGTAATAGCACTAGCCTTACCTACCAGGTAGGCTTGTTATGGGGGCAAAAGAGGTAGTGTCCTGGAATCATCGCCTTTGTGGGAGTAGAAAGAGCTCATGCAGTGACTCCTAATTTGTTTTAGCTTCCTAGAAAGTAACAGAATTAGGACTAGAGCTGAGTTGTGCCTCCAGATCTAGTCCTCCTTCAACACTGCCAGTATGACCTTGGCAAGTCACTTAAAAAGAGGAAAATGACTCCTACCTTATTCAGAGCATGGTGAGAAACAGTGCTGTGTATACCATAGAGTGCTGTAACATTGTGATTATTCTAAAAGTGTTTTATGGCATATGTTTTTGGTTTTTTCTTATACGTTCAAATGAACTAATTAAATTAAAATTAATTTTGTTTTGGAAAATATTTTGAGTATTTTGCTGACAACCCTGCAGATAAATGGAGACTCCCTGAGAGGGATGGGAATTGCTGTCATGGAGGTTTGGTTTATGCATCATTAGAGAAGAAAAATCACACTGTCCATCCATATTCCCAAAAGGGAAGAAATCAGCCCACAAGCAGGACATCCTGTTCAAAGCTTATAAACTTTCCATTGGAGAAAAGAGTGAAAAAGCCACACAAAATACAGCCCCTTCCCCTACCTAATTAGACAAGATGACGCTCATTCCTTATTTCTCATTATACCCCAGGAAGGGAATCTAGATTTTCCCCTGCCACATGTGGGTTTTATAGGCTAGTAGCACCTGGAGCCCCTCCTCCTCTCTCCTCTGATTTCCTTGCCTTTTATAGGTCTAAGATGTTAGTCACTCTGGCCTGGTCCCCAGGCACAGTTCCTTCTATAATCAGCCTGATAGGGAAAATGGGGGAGGGGGATTCATCCCATTACTGACTTTTAAGCTAATTTTAAGCTAAAATTTCCAAAAGTTTCTCAAACCAGATGTGTGTTGCCAAAAACCCTTAGGACTGGCAGACATATGTGCACATGGACACAGACCCCAACTGATGCACACATGAACGTTCAGAGCTTCCCAGGGAAGCAAAGCCAAGCTAAGGCATGACTAAGGAAAGTCCTTTTCTCCATTGTAAAGGATAAAGTGCTCGCTATCCTCTCAGTCCTTATGCAAATACCAAGGGAAGGGACAAGGAGAGAAGAGGAGAAAGAGTATAGGAAACACATGAAGAGAAAGAGAAACACACAAGAG